CAAACAAGAGGACTTTGTTCAATTCCTGTTTGGCAAAATTCTTCTATTCAAAAGATAACTGAATTTCCTGCCACAGAACAGAGCCCTAACTACTCAAAGTCTGGAGAATTTGAGTTCAAAGTGTTCTGCACATTATATTCTGCAAGTATGCAAAAGACAGCATTCTATATTATTGTCTTTTCTCTAATAAAGAGAAGTCTTGGAGGTATGTTTACAATAGTGGAAGCATGAGCACTTGAGTGTTGTATTTATCCTTGAAAATGATGATCAGGATGATTTTAATGATGATGAAGAAGGAAAGAAAGAAAAGAAATAGAAGAGGGAAGTATAAAAGAATTGTGGGGAGAAGAGGAAGAAGGGTCTATCATGGAGATAAATTAGGTTTCATAAACATCCCATAAGGCAAATACATCATATTGTAGACAATGAAACTATGGCACAGACAACTAGATAATAGAAGAGGAGATGAACATGTATTCAAACTTCAGACATGTCTTCTTGATTTTGACACTCTAATTGTATCACGTACTGTGAAGACTATGCAAGATATACTACATAAATACAAAATACTTGGTAGCAAAAGTGTTACACTTGAGTTGGATGTAAATATTTCTTTTATTTTTTTCTTGTACATGGATAATTTAAAAAGATAATTATAAAAGACCAAGTACGCACTATATTAGACTTCAATAAAAGTTAAACACACTAAAAACATCTCAATAAATGTTTTTATTTTAACATGATAAGGACACACTATTGACATATAAGGCATCAAAGCCATGAGGAAAAGCCCATCATCTTCCACAATTGCCCTTTATAATATAAAAAACCACATAATCGACATCAATTACTTTGACTTGGCAAGAAAAGTAGATGGAAAAGCCAGAAGAGAATCACAGAGAAATACACGGCAGTGAAATAATCCATCTTTGCCTTCACACTCATTTTTTTTTTCAGCCTGTAGGAAGTAATCAGACAGCAATGGGAAGTTAGACTAGCTGTTTCTGAGCCACAGGGGAGTCACTCAACTTTGGTGCTATGAACAATGCTGTTTACATTTCTAGGTAGGAAAATTATAATTCAAGGAAAAATAATTTATAAATATTCCATATACTTATGAGCTTGTAACCGCAAGGTTAAAAATGAATCAAAAACATTTTTGGGACTCTAAACAAATATAAAAAGGTTTATGTACTTACAGCACCTAACTTTAATGTTGATTCCAAATTCTTTATTATTACCTGTGAAAGACTTCTTGTTCACAAAAATTAACTTTAAGGCATGCCAAATTCCAACAGAAGACTAGCCTAAGACTAGCTTAGGGATATTAAAGTTATGTACCTACAGAACATACCCTAACATATATACAGGCTTGAACACATCAGCCTGCAAACTTAACAAACAAAAGCCATGAGTATGCTTTTAAGTTAAGTCACGAATTTTTGAAAGCAATTCTGTGTGTTTGCAGTAGCGCCTTCCCCTTGACAGTATTGATGTTAGTCAGGCAAATTAATTCCAAAGTTGTATGCCCATAAAAGCTAAAGGAGAGATTTTATAGAATAATGTGCAGACCATAAAATGATATAGCTTAAAATAGTCTGAGAGGGAAAACTGTTAATTATCTGTCTTATGAGTTCCCGGGTGCTGAGAAAAGCCCATTGAAACTTCTTTTTAATTCTCCTCATCATGGTCATTGTTTATGCCCAATTTTATAAAAGCTAAAGCAATTCCAGGAAGCTGTAAGGTTGTGTCTCATCCTTTGGTGCAGTCAGATCCAGCAGATGGTATCATATCTTGCTGCCACCAGGGAACTACTGACAAGCACTGTGAATCCCTTTGTCAGCACACATTTCTGTGATAGCTTGAGTTGCTGCAGAATTAAATGTTCAGACTGAAAAATCTTCTAATAGATACACAGATATTTTCTCTTTTGCTCTGACCATTAATGCAGATAAGAGTTTAATAGGGTGTACACTTGCGAGATGAAGGCCTGAATATTCATGTGTAATTGATTAGGATGCGTTCTTATTGTAACAAAATTTAATAGTAAGCAAAAATATATAGATGTATTCCAATCTTTAATTCCTGATATTTGATCATCATGCTACAATTTTACTTTTTTGACTTCACTCTAGGGGTAAAGGAAAGAAAGGCACAAAAAATTGGTAGGGCAGTTTGTTTGTTTACATTTGTCCCTCAAAAGATAAATGCTAGTTCCCTGGTAAAATCGGGCCTCAAAACAGATTTTTAAAAAAGGGACAGGATGGGCTCAGATATTTTAAGTTAAAGATACCAAGGAAAGTTATCTGGGTTTTACAGAATTCAGGGATTTAGCACTAACTTGGGTGAAAACACCCCTGGCCAAAGAGAACTTGCTGGTTCCTCGGTACCCTCTAGTCTTCTAACTCATAAATCAGATATCTAGTAAGTAGCCTGGAGAAAACACAGCTTCACATGAATGACCAGCACATCACATTGCATGCTCGTGTCAGGAGCTTCAAATGGCTGCCACGGAAACAGCATTGCAAAGAAAACTGCGCACCCTCTGCGGCCATTTCTAACGCCCACAAACAGAGTTGTTTATTAGTAAAGTTAGGAAGCTTAACGCAGCTTCCACAGACAACAATGGGCACCATATCCAGGAAACCTGAGAAAGTTCCAGGGTCAAAGCGTAGGCCTCAGTCAGTGTCTGGTTTCTCACATGATCAGGCCAAAGCAATCCTGGTACCCAAACCACTCTGTATCATATTGAAACCAACAGTGCAGAAAGTTCAGAAATTTTCTTTGCCTGTGTTACTTTTATCTTTTTAATTTTTTGCAGTGCTGAGGGATCGACTCAGGCAAGCGCTGTACCCCTGAGCCATGTCATTCCTTAATTTCACTTTAAATTCAAGTAATCTCAAAGTCAGGCACTAACAGAATGGGTGAGGGCAACACACAGACTACCTGGAGGAAAGTGGATTAAGGCAATTATCAGAATTACATCAGCATAGCCTAAAGGAATCATCGGGGTGATTTTCTGAATTGGTCCCTTCCCTCATACCAGCAGAAACTTTAAGTGTCATGTTCTCTGTTTGAGCAGTTTTGGTTACTGCAGAAACAAACATTTGCCAACTTTTCATTTAAAATCTTCTTTTATGAAATGGGACTTTAAAAAATGCTGCCTTTAGAGTATACCTATATGATTTAGCTGCACAGTGAGTTCATTAACTTTCCTACATGAAGAACTGACTTTTTTCTCCTTTATCTTCAGTTTTAGAGGTTTGAAAATACAGCCTTCATGTTCAATTTTCAAACTCATTAATAACTGAAAATTGGATCATAAATTGGGTCTGTTTCATTTGCTATGCAACTAATTAATTATGGTTTACAAATAATTAAAATCAATTCAGAGATCTCATATAAACACAAATACTTTATTATATTCTGATGTTCTGAAATGAAGTCTCACTCCATATTATGTTCTGAAACTTACTATGTAGTCCAAGCTAGCCATGACCTTTCATTGACCTTGTTTCAGCCTCCCAAGTAATGGGATCCAGGTCTGGCTTACCAGGTCTGGCTTTAAATGGGCTTAAATTCTATTTTACAAGTTTTTTTGTTACAATTTGAACACAGCTCATATCTACTCACTCATAAGTAGATTATTCCCTTCTTACTTCAACATTGCCAAAGTCCTCAAGCAGACTAGCAATCAAAACTGAATATACCTCTAGAAGGTAAATTTTAAACTTCTGGGAATGTACCTTTAGCCGGGATGGCATGAGAATCAGAAAAACAAACACAAAGGAACAGCTACAGCAGACAAAATGAAAGTTCTTTCTAGTACTTTGTGGCTTAGTAAGCCAGTACTTCATGGTCAAGTCCTTTATTTTGCAAGGCGAGGCAATGGGGCTATATAGATTCCACACTTGTTTTATTTTTACCTAGGAAATCTATGACATGACTGCCATCCCTATCTCACCTTCCCTTACTGCATTTTCCTTTAGCTCAACAAATTGTTCTGATATCCACAAGAGCTCATTCGTATAGACACACTAACTTATACAGTTCATCCAAAATCCTCAATAGCAACACATATGTCTTCACTAGATTTAGGTGGACTTAAGAATCTCCAATGAAATACCTTACTTACTAGCTCATCCCTTCACTCACACCCTTTCCTGGCTCCAGTCCTCTTAAAGAATGAACTCACTTGTCTTTGTAGCATACTAATGAAAACACCTATGTGGGAGGGTGGGGCCAGTTCAAGGAACATCAGTGCAATTCAAGATCTTTCTTAGGCTGCATTTCCCATCCCTTTCCTGACCACCTTTCCCACTGTACCTCCTGTAAACTAGACATTTTCACTTTATGAGGCAAGAACATGGTCTATAAGGGCCCAATGTAGAAGATTCTCAGAATGATGTTTAGACCTTGTCAAGAAGAATCCGGACTAGTGCTGAACACAACTCCCATTAAATTGTTGGGTTAGTTTTTCTCTCTCCAGTGTAAGATTTGGGTATAAGCTTAATTAGGGACCCTTTAAGTAATGGCTTATGCTACACATAGTTTTCAAGAGTCTAGCTGTGATTATGCTGGAGGTTTTTTCCACATGTCACCTGGAAGACTGCCAGGAACACTGTGAATCAGACCCATGTAGATGCCAGGAGATATATTTTAAAAATATGTTTTCCCACACATATAAGAGAAGTACTAAAGATTTCAATGGTACAGGTCATCAGGCTGAATGAAAATCCACAAGCAGGAGACAATATGTATGAACAAACACTTCTACTTCATTGAGGAGGAAGGAAAATACCTACTGCTGACGCTTAGCTAGCCACATGTGGGTCTGAAGATGATTTGTATCATTTTCTTTATTAGACGATACATATTCATGACATAGCTGTCATTCCTAAATATAGCAATAATTTAAAATAAAATATTTTATAACTTTAAGAAAATAACCAACATTCTTAAGTTTCAAAATATTCACACTTTCAAAGTCTACATTTTAGTGTTTAGCCAAATTACAGGAAGAAAATTTAACAAGAAAATGGAAAAGCACCTTTGGGAATTAAATGTAAGCCATACTATCTAACTAGTGCTTATGTTTCACAGACTAGATCACCAAGTGATCCCACTATGCAGGAGTCCCAAAACCTCTTGTGTATTTCGTCCGTGGAAGTATTTTGCTATAGAAGTAGAAACTCCTGATCATTACAGGCAAATTAGTTTCCAGTTTGCAGCAAGTCAAGGGTAGCTGGCCATGGTTTCTTTTCCAACTTACATAAGCTTTCTTAATACAAGATTCCTGGAGACAAAACACTCACTAGCTTTTAGTTTGTGGGGAAAAAACAAAAACAAAAACAAAGCAAAAAGCTAACAAAACAAAGCTAAAAAGCTTTTCTTGCCAAACAAATGAAGTACACAGTTGTCTTATTTTTTTCATATAAAACACATGGCTGTCTCTCACAAAGTTCAGAATTAACTCTGTACAGCAAGGGCATCTTCCTCTACCAGGGAGAGTTCAAGGGAGTTTTCATTAGTGCTAGTCTTCACCCTGAAGTTGAAAGAACCATAGAGTTTGGCAGACTCTTTGGAGGAGGCAAATCTATTTCGACGATAGAGCTCCCCCTTCCACATAGACATCATTAGCAAGCATGAGAGAACGACTCCCCCCAGTGTGAGGAGGCAGAGGCCAGCAATCACACAGCGGTCCAGGTGTGCACCTAGCCTGGCACTCTCCTTTTCTAGGCGTTCCATCTCCCGGGCTGCCACTGTGTTGGGATCCACTGTCACCTCACGTGGGACAATGTAAGAAATGATCACCAACAAGATACCAGTGACCAAGAACAAGATGGCGCTGATGAAACCATAGTCTATGGACTTTCCTGAAGATGTGGCTTCTGAACTTGTATCATCTTCATCTTCAGATATCAAAGACATGGGAGCCTCCTGGGACCATTCATTATGGTTTCCCCATCCAAGATCTCCAGGGTGATTATTGCCTTTGGCTGATGGGGACCTCTGACTTCTCTGTTCCAAGTTGACATTCTCATCCACATAAGTGAAAGAAGTTTCTAGTTCCTGGCTGCAACAATTGCAAACTTTACGATCTGCCATTACTTGGTTGTTCCTTGAGTCAGAAGGTCCTGATGGGAAGAAACTTGTCAGAATATCATTGTCTTGGAGCAAGGAGGTTGGAGATGCTGGAGAAGGGCTACGTTTAGACACTTCGACCACAGATGTCCTCGGTGTGGAGCAAAGAGCAGCTCTGATGGCTGCCTCTTCTGCATGATCACCAGGAGTTTCTCCTGAGCTCCACTCCACAGCACTGCACAGCTCCACTGGGCTGTTCCTCTTAGTCAGGGACTGGAGCTCCATGGGAGCTAGTTAAAATTCTCCCAGAAATTTACAAATGTTCTACCAGTGGCAACACAAATAAAAACCTGGCAGGATCTATGCCCATTCAGAAGGGAGGCCAGGTCCTCTGGTCCCTGTTTCCTTTACAGCCATGGCTGGTTGAGGACACCTTGGCCTCAGTTCCTCAGTTCCCCTGAGAGGGGCAAAAATGAGAAAGGGAACCTGGGGGCAGAAGATCATGGAAGGGGCGAATCTCCTCAGTTGTCACAGGGGTTAGCCGTCAGGGCAGAAAAGGAGCAAGGTGGATGTGGCAGAATCTCTGGGGAGAGCACACTGCCGTCACCAAGCCAAATTTATCCAGAGACTCACACATTCCCATGACAGAATCCCTCAAATGAGAAGGCAAGTTTCCTGTAGAAAGACACAAATGAGAAAGGCAGGGCTGTTTCGTTTTGTTTGTTTGTTTGTTTTTGTTTTTTTAGCAGAGCTGCTGAATTTCTGGAGGTCTTGAGCAAAAGCAGAGTTCCTAACAATTCAGTTAGAGTGTATATCTCCACCCCAGAGAAGATCAGAACAGATTCTAATACAGATTCGCTTTAATAAGTGCATGCTCCTATCAGCTGGGTGCCCTTGCATAGGCACCCTGACTTAGAGGCTCTGAAGTGAATGGAAAGGATGACTTAATCACCCAGTGACCAACAAGAGGAATCAGTTCTAGTGATTCACTTATTCATATATCTAGCAGCCACTGAACACAGCCCAGGGCCCTGTGTTAATATGTACTTTTCTGCTTAATTCTCTCCCTGTTCCACAGAGGCAGCTTACACACTTCACTGTGGTTTCTACAAAACACAGTGAGCCTGTCCACTTCACACACATATACTGCCTGCTCCCACAGAGTATCTGCTGCTCCACTCACAATAGTCTCAGTGGCTCTGAGTTACTTCTTCCGACAGTGCCAACAAACAAGCACAAGAAAGTGGCCATTTCTGGATAGGGGAAAAAGATAAACCCACAACATCACATCAAGGCAAAGAAGTGAGAAACGATTTCCACGGCACTGCCTCATCTCCACTGCACCAAGAGCCTTGATAGGACAGAACTCTGTTGAACAGAAAGCCATCTGTCCATCTTTTCCTGCCTCTTCTAGCTTCCGGGGGAATAAAAATTCACCCTCCACTCTCACTAAATATAGGGGGTTTAATCAAGGACTTCTTTTGTTTTTATTTCAATCCAGAGTGGTTTAACCCACGGCTGAGGAGTAGGGGTCAAAATCCCAACTCCAGAAGCTGGTAACAGAGGGTACAAGCAAGACAGCCCTAAGACAGGGCTAAGACAGCCAGGCAGCTCACAGAAAGGAAAATAAATTCTACATGTTTCCTGCTGTACTTCAAGCCCTCCCACCCCACTCCGACATCAATTGCACTAAAAATACAAAAAGAGCAACGACAAAAAGGAGAAAAACACAGTGCTAAGTGCAAGAAAACCATAACGGGATCAGAGTTTTCGCTGGCTAAGTGGACAAGCCCCTACTGAAGGATCCTTCAATGAAATAGGCGATGGAGACTGGTTTCATCAATTACCGAAAAGAAATCCTCACAGATGAGTCCCTGAGGCAAGAGTCGCTCTGATTAACCTTTGGCACAATTAACTAATCATATTACACTCTTTTAGATAAAATCCGCAGGGTTCTTTACGAAACTTCTCTCTTATCTCTCTCTTCCTCTCGCTCTCTCTCTCTCTCCTTTCCTCTCTCTCTTTCCGCTGTATTGGAGACTCACTAACTGTACAGTCGATTTGCAGATCCGTAATCCAGCTCAGTGAAGGATGGATAATCCCAGGGGACCAGCTAAAGGTCTCTTCTTCCCTCCCCCTTCCCTCCTCTCTCTGATCTGTTTAAAAGCTCAGTTAATGAGATTGCACCTCCAAGGCAGGGGGCAGCGTTTTCCCTAGTCTGCTGCGCCTCAATTAAAGGCAGTAAAATATGGACAGAACTGACAGGGACAAAGCTGGTCTGCAGAAGACCACCAAGAGATGTGGGATGCTGGCTGAAGGATGAGCGCGCTGGGTTTAAAAGACCCACCATCCGCACTCGATAGCGGAGCCCCCAACAGACTGCGGGATCGATCAGTCCTCCCAGCGAACTCTTGGCCCATCAAGGCACCTGCAGTCTAGCTGCGTCCACTGAGTTCCTGCAGGCACCTAGGGCGGGGAGTGGGGAAATGTGCCCCGGCTCCTTTTAGCTCCAGGCTCGGGCTCTCTCTCCACTCTGCGCGCTTCCTCCCCATGCCACTCTCTGTTACTCACCTTCTCCTTTGGCCACCCAGTGGAGCTGCAGTCTGGAGCAGTCGCGTCTGCTAGGCTCGGGAAAAAGTCTGCTATTCCCCAGCCGCAGCACTTGTAGCCTGTGTTCCCCGCCTGGTTCCGCTGGGTGGGCGGTGCCCGCCTAGTAGGGCTGGGCGGGGCAGGGCGGGGCGGGGTGTTCCCTTTTACTGAGCATCCCGGGAGATGTAGTTCAGAAGAAGTCTGCCTCCCTCTTGTTTGCTTTGCCCATACCTCCGGGATTTTACTGCTCTAGAGAACAGTTTCCTCCATCCATTCATTTACCTGCCTGAGCTTCAAACTCTTGCCTCTGTAAGGTGAGTGTGTCTCCCTTATCTTCCCATCCTACTATCCTCCCAGCCTCAAGTGCAGCCACAGGATTCTGGAGGAGGACTGGGGAAACCAGTGTTACATATAGTTCAGTGTGCCAAGCACTTTGCATACTTTGTCATATTTAATAGTCAAAACGCATTTTAAAGTACAAGGTTTTTACTAATCTTCCTTTTAGAATAAAAAACAAGACTCCTAGGGATTCAGTGTTTCCTGCTCGACAAGGATACAAATTCCATAAATTTTGAAATCATATCCAGGAGTGTGGTTCCACAGTCATCATCACCTTTCCCATAAAATAGGCAGAAATATGAACACCGAGGGTAACAGTTCCTGTTCACAAGTTTATCACCCATACTTATTGTTACATCTTGTATCCGATAATGTATTACTAAATTGGAAATAAAAGGACAGAAGCAGAATTTTTTATTGCCAGGGCCTTTTCAATACATTTAACTTAATTCATTCAATTTTCGAGGTAGGGTATAAGTACTCACTTTTACCTGAATTACAAAATAGTAGACAAATTCATGCGACTGGTATTCAGTAAATTAAGCATTATGTTATACTGATTGTTGGGGGGCATAGGGTAAGAGAGAGGTCAGGTTGGGTAGGGTTTCAGCTCTTGAGACAGGCCAAATTAATACCCTCTTCTATGCAGAGTAATTTTCAACAGCCTATAGCCACATATCTTGGAAATACATGTTTTTGTGCATCATCTCCAGTTGTGCAGCACCTCCTTTGGAGTGACTTTGAGACCACTGATGGATTCCATCTAAGGAGCAAAGATTACAGTTATCTATGGCATCTTTTGCTTCCAAGTAGCTCACATAAATGCTGCAGTCACTTGAGAGACAGATCAGCTTCCTCAAGAGACACCACAAATGATAATGCCATTTATTTTACTTCACAAAAATTTGACAAAATTCGGTCTCATGGTTCTTTAGAACATATCCTTTTTGAAATCTGTTTGTTCTACAATTCTATTATAACTCGCTACACCATTAGTTCTGGATACATGTGCCATTTTTTTTCCTTTGGATTAATAAACTGTTTTCTTTTGAGAATATATTTTCTCTGTTCTCCTGTTCCATTCAGACTTCAAGGACATACTTGCCAACCTTATCTATGAGGTAACCTCTCACTCAGTACTATAGATTGGAAGTAGAACCCAAGCACAGCATAGGTGTCCAAAAGGGAACAACTATGATATTAAAATATCTTGAACTGATAAGGAGGTGCAGAAGGAGGGTATTTAGTGAAAGGAGGAGATCTTGACAATATAAAAAGCTAACTAGAGATAAATTAAAGTTCATAAAATCAAATATATTTACACCCTGGTTTTCCAAAGCAGAAAGCAGAACCAGACAGCTAATAATATCTATTAGTGCTAATACATTACCACTGTAGATGTTTGCACTTTCTTTGTAAGGAGTTTAGCAGTATTGTTAAACTCATTTTGCAATGTAGAAATTAAACTTTGACAAAGTATACTCTTTCTACCAAAATCTAAGAACCAATAACCAACATTCTAACTTGATTGTGTCTGGTTCCAACAAGGGCATCTTTGCTACACACTATGCTCATCAGTCTTTTGTCACATATTCTTTTTCATGGCAGTCATATATAAGAGGTAACACACAGGTGTAACATTGAAGGTTTCTCATGCCAATCATTCCAGGGCTGCAACATCTTGGGAGCCTATAGGACAACATCGTAGGCTAATGGAGTAGGTGAGCTACCATTGCCATAATTTACTGGTACAGCTTGGATGTTAGGACACAGACTAGGAAGCTCTGTGGGGTTTAGTTAGGAGACTGACTTGGCATTTGATATAAGCAAGGACATTCTAATAGTTTTTATTTATTTATTTATTTATTTATTTATTTATTTATTTATTTATTTATTTATTTACATTCTAATAGTTTTGCATGGAATGTCTCAGGAAAGTGAATTCCATATTAGTGAGCTTCGTAGAAAAAGACAGAGCCATTTATTAACAGAGCTAATAACCTCCATGGTCTTCCTGATAAACTGATTCTAATTTATGTCTCTTACATGAGGTACTAGGAATCAATAGCCTCTGGGTTTGTCAACACTGGAATTTTAAATATTTATTTATTATCTACTACCTTGTGACATATCTTGAACAGCTAGGTAACTCCTAAATTTGCAGCTTAGGCACCTGAATGTCTAATGTTCACTGTAAACATCTTAAGATCACTACTAACACGTTACACATCTTATATAATGCAGAAAGTTCAATCTTTCTCCATCATTCAGTGAAGTAATATGACAAAATTCATTTGAGACATGAAATGATTATCAGCTGTTCTATCATTCCCTATTATTACCAAATGAACATAAAATAAAATAAAACAAAACATTAGACTCCACATATCTCTAACATTAAAAAGTCGTTTTGGGGGCTTGAGAGATTGCTCACTGGCTAAGCATACTTGTTCTTGTAGAGGACCTGGGTTCAATTCACAACCATGCACAAATCCAGATACAGGAAATCTGACTCCCTCTTCTGACTTCCACAGGCACTAGGCAGGAATGTAGTTCACAGACATACAAAAATTAATTACATGTCAATATACTACAAATTTTCATTTAGAATTTTGCAGAGAAAAGGGGTAAAGGAAGATTGGCTGAGTTCATGAAAGGCAAGCTCTGCAAAAATTCCATTTGCTAGA